AGTTAGCACGTGTGCAATGTGTGGTATGCACAGATCAGCTAAAGATGATTCTCTGCTCTGTGTCTGAGCAGGTGAAAAGCATCAGTCAATCTTTTTAAGTTCACTTGGACCTTATAACCAAACCATAATATAAATCTCCATGCCATATGAAAAAATTGCATGAAATAATAAGTTATGAAGAACAGATAGTCAGAAAGATTCCTTGTCTTCTGCAGAGACATTCTTGTGTTCCCACGTAGAGGGATTGGCATTTGCTTCTCCCATTCTGTTGTTTTTATGGGTCCCTTTTTTCATGTTTTCCATGTCAGGAGCCAAGATTTCCAGGAGGTCCTCTGTCATCAAATATAATCCTTATTAACGTTGAAGGGATACACAGTTTTTCACTTCCTGTAGAAGCAAAAATATATCATCTTCCCTAACACAACATATTTCCTGACTTCCATTCTGAAGACAACACATCCTTAAAGTATATAGGCTGATTTAATTCAACAGTCATTTCTAAAATCCAGTGTTTTTCAGCAGCTGTGCTACCTGTCTCATTGACATTGAAAAATTTTAAAGTTAACAAAGCGTTATGTAATCTATCTCTGGAAGATCTCATACCCCCTTTCCATTCTATGAGCATTTTCTTTAAAATATGCCTAGATTTTTCCACAGTTGCTTTATCTGTAGGATTGTAAGGTAACATGTTTTATGTTATAATATTTGAAAAATTGTTTCATTTTTCTGGTTATCTATACCAGAGCATTATCAGTTTTAACCTGTGAAGGTATTCCTAAGATAGCCATCATTTCTTAAATGAGTAATTACAGAAAAAGCCATTTCAGAACTCAAGACAGAAGCCCATTAAAATCTTGAGTACATATCAAGTTTATAATGTGCATACTTTAATTTGCTAAACTCTGCAAAATGAAACATCCATCTGCCAAATTTTGGGGGTACTTTTAGGGTTACTTCTGGCAGGTGGTGGAGCTTGATTATATAAAGAACAAGTAGGACACAGTTTTTTTTAATAATTTATTTGGTTTGTTTCCAGCTTATAGAAGATTTTTCTTTAAACATGTACTTATATAATGACATTTACAAAAAGTCGAAGCTTCTAATAATTTTCTATCAGTTATTTATCTCTCTCATTTTCTACCGTCAATGGTCCTGGCAAACTTATATGAGAATATGGGTTGTTCTATATAATGGATGATCTCTGTCTTGTTGGGTGTAGCTTTTCGCTACTCTGCCTAAGCTCCAGGAATGGCCGTACTACCAGTCCCCAACCCAGCTTCCCTTGAATCCGTGGATAAAACACACACACAGGTTGCTCCTTTTTAACTTGCCTTTTGACACAATTGCTGGGCGCTCCTTACTCCCACCTAGAAAAGCACACCCTTATCAATATTCTTATATCCACACCTCTCCACTTGCCCCAGACTTTAGTTGCTCAGTTACACCTAGTCCCTCCTAAACATCCCTGACTACCTGCCTGTAGGAACAGCAACAGGCCACCACTCTCCCAAGATCTCACATGGCTGTTTGGCTTCTCTCTTTCACCTCTCCTCTCCTCTCCTCTCCTCTCCTCTCCTCTCCTCTCCTCTCCTCTCCTCTCCTCTCCTCTCCTCTCCTCTCCTTGGGTCTCTCTCCTTGCCTCCAGGGACCCAAAAGTCCTACCCTATTCCTTCTGTCCAGCAATTGATCCATGACTTCCTTACTGGCAGATCAAGAACCAATTGGGGAACAGGACCTTAGCAGCAGAACCACTCCTATGCTATCTCAACCTACTGTAGTTTAAATAGCAAAGTTAATTCTGAACCATCTGGATTAAGTTCAGCAATTTCTATATGCAAAACACTCTCTACATATTGAGAATCAGTGATTATATTAGGTCTTCTAATGGGTTTAGAATCCTACAATCTTATCACAAGGTGGTGTGACAGGCTCTGGATAGGGTCCTCTGAACTAACTTGAGAAATTTCTTTATTCTGATTTAAAAGATCCTCTAATTTCTGTTCTTCTGCTTTTAATCTATCATTCCATCTCCCAGTCCTTTCATCATCTAAGTCTGTTTTATTCTGCTCTTTCTCAGAGAGGACATAGAAACTATCACTGTTATAGAACAAATTGTAATTTTTTCCATGCTGATAATTAAAACAAAACTATATGATTCCAAATGCCCTCTGCCAGGTGTTTTCTATTTTTTAACACAGAAAATATTTTCCTTTTTAATCTCATTAACTTGCTCCTTCCTCCAGAGACTTCACTTTATTATTTAAACTTAATGTTGATTTCTATGACTGTTTGTAGGCAGTTTTTTTTTCAACATCTATGCATGCTCACAAAACATATCTACTTATATCTCTTTTTACCACTTCCAAACTTTAATATTTATTTCTGTACTTTGTTCTCTAAACTCTGTGGGAACTGCCTGTTCTGAGCATCCGTCACTGGACTTTGCTTCCTGCTCTAGGGTGGCATGGCTCCTGGAAGGTGCTCAATGCAAGCTGCTCTGTGCTTGCAGCAGCCAGCCCCAGAAACTGCTGAGGCCTCACAATGGGACCAGCTCAGACAGGAAGGAGTAGCCCACACTGCACTGTCTCCTCCTGTCAGCCTCTCCACAGTCTCTGCCACCACAGCTCCATGACAATCTGGATTTTGGTCCCTGACCTAGGATCCCTTGCCACATTTTGGTGTACTAGATATTGTAGGGCTTTCACAGACCCACTTGTGGTTTAAATACTTCAGGAGGCTTCCAGATAACGTAAAGTTGTTGGCCTTGAGCTAGGGCAGTCTCTCAGCTAGCTTCTAACTTAGCCCACATTCCCAGCCTGCTCCATGTAGCTAGCTCTTTACCCCATGCTCCATTTCATTCTCCCTTCTGCTTTCTTCCTTGTGCTATTCAATTTTCTGACTCTGCTCGCATCCCTCCAGTGTCCCCTCCTGTCTGGAAGTTCCATCCCTTTACATCCTGTCCCAGCCATTGGCTGTCAGCTCTTTATTATAGCCAGTCTGCAGTAAAACAACACCTGGTCCATCTCTTTGGTTGCCTAAGGCATTGTGGGCTGTCTGACCCTCCTCTTTTGGGCAGGTGGGAAGGACAAGCATTTACAAATAGAAAACCTGGTGATGATAACACTGAAATCCTGCCAGGGCGTAGCTCTCTGATGGTACATAGTTAACAACTGAAAACAGTGTCACACCTTAATACAATGTGGGGAAAGGTCATCTCAACATAGTCCCAAAGAACAGACAATTATCTGACCCAGGATGTCATCTGCTACTGAGAAATCCTGAGCTATATCCTGACTTTTGTGGCATTTTTAGAACACTGGGTTGTTACATCCAAGAGTAACATTTTCATTCAAGATGCCTACAAAAATTTACTCATACAGTTTTTCAAATTTCTAGTATTCCTCTTATTCTTTATAAGAATACTTTTGTGTGTCAATTCTTTATATGCTTCTTCATGAAATTAGTTTTGAGAGATGTTATATCGTTAGCAAATACAGGCAGTTTTTCAACTTCTGTAACTTATTTGTCTGACTGCAATAATTAATATTTCCTTAAAGATGAATAGTAGAGAAATGGATATATTTGCCTCATTCGTGATGGTAATGGAATAGACCTAGTGTCTCTTCATTAAACAAATGATTAGCTTTAGGACTAAAATGTTTGAATTTTATCATGCTGTTGAGGTATTGCTCAAGTCCTGTTTATCCTTATTATCTGTGCAACACAGATTTTGATTGAATGCTTCTTTAAATACATATCATGTACGTGTGCACTGTATAGTAATGTTTTAGCAAGTGGTGAGCTGCATATACAATGATGCTGCCATGAGGATATACTGGAGATGAAAATGGACTGATACATTGTGACACAGCCATGAAGAGGTAATAGAGGGGGCGGCGACGTGATAGCAGGTTAAGGGCACTTGTTGCTCTTGCAGAGGACATGGGTTTGCGTCCTAGCACTCACATCACCATGTGATTCACAATCATCCATAACTCTAGTTCCAGACATTCTGATGTTCTCTTTTGACCTCTGCAGACAACTAGCATGCATGTGTTGTGCATACATATACACATACAAGAAAACACACATAAAGTAAAACAAGTCAATCTAACTTTAGAAATTTAAAGCAGTAGAATGCAAGCTAGTTAAAGTGGTGATTGCTCCTTTAATCCCAGTACTCAAGGGGCAGAAGCATGTGGATCACTGTGAGTTCAAAGCTAGACTGTTCCTCACATTGAATAAATAAAACTTAACAGAATGTTATCTATGTGCTTGTACCAATGCTGATGTAAACAATCCTGTGCTGCTAGAAGTATAAAGGTGAAGTATTAGAATTATTACTGTACATGATATTTGATAATGGCAGTGACTATTGCTGGTTCGTGAGTACTATGCTTTGGGTTTTGTATTTTAATACTGTGTATCCCTGTCATTACAAGATGCATTGCTGCATCTTGTAATAAGTGCTGTAATAAGAGGAGGGCTGTGGATTGTTAGACTGAGTCAGGAAAAGATGCAACCGAGGAGCTACCTGCACTGCATTGGAAGGCTGGTAAGGATTCCGACATGTAGGAAAGAAAAGTTAATAAATCCAAAATAAAAAAGAATAGCAGAAGCACCATAATTTATGAGTCATATGTAGGTATGTATGAATATATGATATTATATATCATGTATGTATGTATGTATATATGTATGTATGTATGTATGTATACAGTCCATTATATACCAGGCTACACTTCCTAATTTGTGCTTCTCTAACCCCTCTGCTGGTTACTCTTAGCTCTCACCTCCTTAGGTGAGCTTCTTTTATCCTTTCATTCACTCAGGTTGATTGGCATTCATCTAGTATCTTATAAAATGTTTATTTTCCATTCCTTCTTTCTTGCTAATATCTATAGGCATATAGTTTTTATTTAGGTAACATTAACACTCTTCCCATAAGCTTAGTCTGAGCTAATCACACCTATCACTGGCAATTTTGATTTTTCTTCCAGGATATAATAGCAATCTTCAAACCACAAAATCAACTCAAACTAAAGACTCATCATTTCAGGAATTAAAGAGAACAGAACTCAAAAGGGATGAGGCCTGGGACTTCACCTCAGGAAAATCCTGTAGATCTGACAACAGTTTTAAAAAACAGGACAAAAATGAAAGCTTACAAATTATTTCAATCACCCATACAAAAATTCTTGCTGTAGGGAAAAACCATAAGAACTTTAAATTTGGTCCAAGCGTCGGCCTGAAGTCAATCGGTAAGCAAAAGATTGCTAGGGAAAAAACACAGAGAAATAGCCTCAAGGAAAATTCAACTTCACTTAACCAACCAAAACTCAAGACAGTAGAGAAACGCTATAAATGTAGTACTTGTGAAAAAGCCTTCATTCACAACTCATCCCTTCACAAACATCTGAAAAGCCATACTGGAGAGAGACTGTTTCAATGTAAAGACTGTTTGAAAGCTTTCAGCCAAAGTTCTGCTCTTATTCAACATCAAAGAACTCACACTGGAGAGAAGCCCTATGTATGTAAAGAGTGTGGGAAAGCATTCAGCCATAGTGCATCCCTCTGTAAGCACCTAAGAACTCATACTTTGGAGAAATCCTATACATGCAAAGAATGTGGAAAATCTTTTAGCAAAAGATCTGACCTTTTTTTGCATCAAAAAATCCATGCCCGAGAAAATCCTCATAAATATAACCCAGGAAGGAAGGCATCCACTTCCCTTTCAGGATGCCAGAGAATTCATTCCAGAAAGAAGACCTACTTGTGTAACGAATGTGGCAACACCTTTAAGTCTAGTTCATCCCTTCGTTATCATCAGAGGATCCACACCGGAGAGAAACCTTTCAAATGTAGCGAATGTGGCAGGGCCTTCAGTCAGAGTGCATCACTTATTCAGCATGAAAGAATCCACACTGGAGAGAAGCCCTACAGATGCAGCGAGTGCGGGAAAGGCTTCACATCTATCTCAAGACTCAACAGACACCAAATCATTCACACAGGGGAGAAGCTGTATAATTGCCATGAGTGTGGCAAAGCCTTAAGTTCCCACTCAACTCTCATCATTCATGAGAGAATCCACACTGGAGAGAAACCATGCAAATGTCAAGTGTGTGGGAAAGCCTTCCGACAGAGTTCAGCTCTGATCCAACATCAGAGGATGCACACCGGGGAAAGACCCTATAAATGTAACGAGTGTGGGAAAACGTTCAGGTGTAACTCATCCCTAAGTAACCATCAGCGAATCCACACTGGGGAGAAACCTTACCGGTGTCAGGAATGTGGGATGTCATTTGGTCAAAGTGCAGCTCTTATTCAGCATCAGAGGATCCACACAGGAGAGAAACCCTTTAAATGTGACACATGTGGGAAGAGTTTTAGACAAAGCTCCTCACTTATTGCCCATCAGCGAATTCATACCGGAGAGAAACCCTATGAATGTAGTACATGCGGCAAGCTCTTCAGCCAGAGGTCATCCCTTACCAATCATTATAAAATTCACATTCAAGAGGACTCCTGGAACATAGATTTGCATGGGTAAAAGCAATTAACCAAAGTTCCTCAGAGAATATATACTTCATATTGACAATAAACATAGTGAATATGAGGAAACTTTTAATTTAGTCCTATGAGATATTAAAATTTCAGGAATAAGCTGTGATGATATAATAATAGAGAAAATTTCATACGTATCAGTCACTTTTTAATGCTTTTTTCATATTTTATCAGTCACTTCAGATACGTCACTATAGCAGACATTAACAATGGCTGTTTATAAGGTAACAGAAATGCTTTTTTATCTTGTCCACATTATATAATATATACAATTATAAACACTAGAAAAAAATCTGAGTTCAGGAATATTGGTTTGTCATTAGAAAAGGGAATGTCAGCTATTATCATATTTGCTACAGCTAATATTTTAATAGTAAATAATTAAAATATATGCATTTTTAAATCAATGGACCAAATTAAACAAAAAACCAAAAAACTACCTCGTATTGCCTTTTCCTAAGATATTGTCAATCTGCATGGTTTTTATTAAAAAGAAAGAGAACTGTTCTTAAATTTTTGTTCTTCTAATTTTCTAACTTCCGTACACACCTCCCTCATTGAATACACATATTCTAATTTTGTGCTGTAAATTATTCTCCTTCGTTGCCTTGAAACATTAATTATGAAGCCGTGTCTGGAATGGTAATGTTAAATACTTGTCTTAGTTACCCTGGAGCAAGCAGACTGGATAAGCTTGCCAAAATGAGTTGTCAGAGAACAGTTAGGGATGACACCCGACATCAACTGCCCCCCACATGCACATCATACAGATGAACCCCCAAACGTGCTCACCACACACAGACATACATAGGACAAAATTCCATTTTCCAGTGCTAGTATATAGACATAATTGATTTTTACAACTTACCCTGTACAAGTAACCTGGTTAATTTATGACAGCATGGTACTTGTGTGCATACGAAATTTTTTTTCTTTCTAATAGTATATTTATAGATTCTTTGCATTCACAATCATTTTATCTACAAATTCCATTTTTTACCTCTTCTAATCAGTGTCTTATTTTCTGACAATGTGACACTACCTAACTACGTCTAGTTTTTCTCTTCTGATCAGTGCCTTTTATTTATTTTTCTGCACATAGTGGTACTGCACAGCGAATATAATGGTAATACTTTCCGTTTTAACATACTAGCTTCCATTTGTGGATGCTTGTTCTGAAACTACCGAACAGCTCTTACACTGTGAGGTTTATCCTAAGAAAGGAATAGCATTTTGTTGCATCCACTCTCTGCACTAACTAAAAATGATAGTTTATCTCTTCACTGTTTTAAGAATAACTTTGTTCAGAATTCTGCCACCACCAGGGTCTTGTTATAACAGCCCAGGCTGGCCTAGAAGTCAGCTATGCAGTTGTCTTCCTGTCTCTGCCTCTTAAGTGTTAGATCATGGGCATGCATCATTGCACTCAGCAAGTGTGCCAATTCTGATGGTGCATGGATGAAATAAGTCTAGATTGGTCAATAATTGTATAATTATTGTATTGATTGGTATAATGTGTGCATTTGTGTGTAAGTCCGGTTTCTTCCCTATTTTATGTATATGTGTGTTTTGCCGGCATGTATGTTCATCATGTGTTTTCAGTGTCCGAGGGGATCAAAAGAGGATGTCTGATATCCTAGAACTGGAGTTACAGTTGTGAGCTGCCATGTGGGTACTGGAAAATAAATCCAGATCCTCTACAGGAGCAGCCAGTACTCTTAATTGCTGAGCCATTTCTCCATCCCCAGAAATTTTTATCATCCACATCTGTACAATAGATGGAATAGTAACAACACCTGGACAGGAAGGAGAAGGTAAAGTTAAGAAACTGCCAAAGCTCACAGCTGTCTGTGATTCCAGTTCTAGGACATCCAATGTCCTTTTATGGCTCTGCAGGTGTCAGGCATGCATGTGGTAGACATACATACATTTAAGCAAAACACGTATATACATAAAATAAAAGTAGAGGGCTGCCAGAAAAAAAGCCCAGAGGGAGTGTGGAGCTAGTATCTGTAGGAACAGTGGGAGACAGCCTTCCTAGTGTAGAGGGCTCCTGCTAAAGAAAGTACTCGAAAGCTGGGTTAGGCCATCAGAGATCTTGAGTAGCACCTGCAGTCTAAGACTATAAGAAGCTAGACATGATCATGAAGATAGAATGACTGATTTGAAAAGGTGATTTTTTTTTAACCCCAGCTCCGCTCCCCTCCCCTGCTTGCTCTGGCCTCAAAAGCCTAGTTCTGTTCTTACAGCTAGACAATTGTCCAGATATTTTGCCAAATACTACAAATGGTAAAAGTCTTACTCCAGCTAACATGTTTTTCAAAATCAAGTTGTAGTCAATCATTCAAAGCCTTAAGATATAACTTAAGATAATAGGTCTTAAAAAGTTATTTCAGGGCTAATGTTTCTCATAAAAAATATAAAGATACTTCTCATTTTGAAATATAACTTTTCATGAGAATCATGAACAAGAGTAAAGAAAAATGTGTATTTCTAGCCTCTATACTGTCCTAAGTTACATAGCCTTTGACCTTTTCAATGCCAGACACTGACCAATTAATACTCTACGTTTTGAGGGGTTTTGGTTTGGTTGGTTTGGTTTGGTTTGGTTTGGTCTTTTGTTCTCTTTTCCTCCCTCCTGTTCTATTTTGTCCTGAGTCAGGACCTCAGTGTACAGCCCATTTTCAATGCACACATTTAAGCAAAACATTGCTCTTCCTGCATCGGCCTCTCAATGCTGGGATCACAGACAAGGTCTAGTGCACTGACTACTGCTGTGAGATTTTTAAGAGTGTGCATCTGCTCAAAAATTTAAATATCTATCATATGCATGATTATTTAGAAACAATATGGATGAGATGAGGAAAAAAACTACAAAAAATAGTTTCCTTGTATTATTGTTAATAACAATGTTAGTATATTGTTGGATAAAATATTGTTGGCTATAATGGGGCAGGGGGGCTTCATCTGGCTGTGATCTAACAGCATCAAAGCAAGCCAAATTTAAAAATAAAATAAGATTCATAGTTTTATAAAATATTACTCAAATAGTTGTTAATAAAAAATTCATAAGGGCCAGGAAAATCATAATGGGCTAGGGCTATAGCAGACAAGAGAACAGGAATGTATCAAGTTAGTGGCAGAGATCCTAGTTCTCAGCATCGCACTGCTTGGCAGTGCTATGGGTGGGGCTTATGATGGGTACATAGGTCATTTGGAATGTGCCCTTGAACTGCCTTGTGGGGCCTCCCTGTTTCTCCTTCTGCCTCCTGGAGAAATGTAAATGAACGAAGAGGGGATGATTTAATAGTAATACACTGGGTGTAGAGCCATAGCAAGATCTATTTACTCAGGCTCTTCTCTGTGACCCTAGAACTTGCGTGAGATATTTATTAAAACCAAGGTCTGGCTAGTTACCTGTGCCGCTGCCATAATTCCACACTAGAAGCGGCCAGAGGTGCCAGGAGTGCTGGCCCTAGACCCACAAGATGCTAGTGTGGCCGCTGCCTTTGCTGGCCAGCTCTGTGGACTCCACAGCTCTAAGCATGACCCCTGGCTCAACTCTGCCACCCTCAAAGTTCTTGGCTCAGAGCAGACAATGCCCAAGAGGTACCTGGTAGAATGAAGACTCTTAAAGCTTAAAGATTATCCAATATATATATAAACAAATGCTCAATACACAAGATGCCCACACAATTAGAATTGTTACCCATTATATAACCTTTGATGTGAATTGTTACCCAAACCTACTAGAGACCCACACGTCTTCCTCCATGTTGTTAGCCTCTCCTCCTCCCTTTCCTCTTCCTTTTTCCTCCTTTTCCTTTCTCCTCCTCTCTCCTCACTCTGCCTACCTTTTCTACTGCCCAATCACTGAGTTCCACTGCAAATACAATGTAGCAGGAAAATATCCTGTTATAAGAACTTCAGAGATAATGATGTTTCTTTTCTCTGTGTATGGTGGGATCAATTCTTGCATGAGAATCTTGTGCTGTGCTCAGAGCACAGGTGAGCTTTCTGCTTCTGTCTTCTCAGATGTCAGGGTACTATATTGTGCAGAGTGTGTGTAGCGTATCTTTGACTTTACCATTTTGACGATTATAGAACAGAAAGAATTAAAAAGCTGCGGGAAGTAAGACGCGAGTTATTTATAAAGGCATATTTGTAGGCTTAGACTTTTTTAAAAAAACTTATCTTAAAAAAGTTTCTTAAATACTTCAACTTTGCTTCTAGGCTACTGACTGAAGCTAGGGGAGAAAGATGGTTAATAGGACAAGGGGAGTGTGGACCTGTTTAGAAGGAGTTCTTTGGGATAATTCCAATCCTCATTGTTAGGATATCAGCAGTCTAGTCCAAAACATCAAACATAAATCAGCTGTCTTTTCTTTACTGGAGTCTCTTTCTGTTCCAAATACTCCTCTAAATAGTCCCTCCATTGTAAAAACAATAAAACTCTAGTCTTTTAAAAGGGTGTTGCCGGGTGGTGGTGGCACACGCCTTTAACCCAGTACTTGGGAGGCAGAGGCAGGCGGATTTCTGAGTTCAAGGCCAGCCTGGTCTACAGAGTGAGTTCCAGGACAGTCAGGGCTATACAGAGAAACCCTGTCTCGAAAAACATCAACAACAAAAAACCCAAAAAACAAAAACAAATAAAAGGGTGTCTATCATACTTATATCATCAAAGAATATGATATATAGACCAATTCTGTTAAATGTGTGGCTATTTCACACAATATAACCAATATAAGATCGTATCTGTAAACTATTTCCCCCAATTTTTGGAGAACTATTTATAGGTGTCTATCAAACTTGTTAATTTTGTTCTTCAAAGATTCCACATTGGTAGAGATGTTTTTAGTCAGCCTTTCTATCAGTTCCTGAGAGTATAAGCTAAAAATAACTGTGCTGAGACTGAGCTGGAAGTGAAGGCCTGTGATTTCAGCATTCAGGACTCACTGAATTTGTATCAGTCCTTCTGCCTCTGCC